CTATTTCTGCTTACTATTACAAGTATTTTGAGCACAAACCAGACACTTTCCACTTATCCTGTGGCACACCTCGCATGAGTCTGTAATCAATCGCTGCACTCGAGACAGAGCCCTGGCAGCCATCAGTCGCACAATTGTCATAAATGTGAATAAAATTGGCAGGCGCGAGGCCTGGCTCTGAGCTTTATGCAAATGTGTCAACTTTGTGTGGAATATTTCGACACTTGTTGCCAATAATGCACGGCGCAGGACGACACATCGGCACATAAATACTTCAGCAGCGGGTCACGTGCCACACTGCCCCACACACAACTGTTGCAACACTTTTTGGGACGGGGCCAATTGAATTAAAGTAAATGACAACGAATGCCGCTGCAGGCGGCAGGCGGCAGGAATTTGTTGCAATTTTAAAGCCCACCTGCCGGGCAGCACTCGACGTGTGGCTGTGCCTGCCGGGTCTCTGTCTGCGTGAAGGTGGAGCAGCATAATTGCTGCTATTGTTTAAATATTTGCCAACATAATTAACTTAATTCAATTGGATTTCCATTAGAGACGCACGCACAACCTGGAACCCACGCTCAGTCGCAGGAGGAGTCGGAGCTGGGATCGCAGATGGGGAATGGCTGCCACAGTGTTTGCACAGCCAAGGTATGCCCCACCACTGTCTAAGGATAACGTATCAAAGGCTTGGCCCTGCATAACATATGAGCCTGAGGAGAGCGGCAAAGTCATTCGCTTGGGCTTCCACTTTGCCTTCGACTTGCGATGACGTTGTCTATTGACTTTGCAAATCGAATTGAATGCGCCAGCAAATCACACAATAAAATAATTGATTCCATTTGAAATGCACACACACTGGAGAGAGTCCTGCTGGCAGGATGCGGGTCGTATCGTGTATCAGTAGCTGGTAGCTGGCAGCTGCTGTCTGTCTCTCTGTCTGGGTGCTGAGTACAAGTTTATTTTCATTGTTTGCAGATTTAACATTTAGCGCAGCACACACGAAGGAGCAGCAGCATCTCGATTATTTATAGGGAAAGATGAGAGGCTCTAGGCCTCCTTGCTGACCGCCTGCAGCAGTTCTTTGCGGGTCTTGCGGCGCATACGCAAATTCGAAATGAGTCGCACGGTGCAGAAGTAAACCAACTCCACGATGCTCAGCATGGAGACGCCCATGAAGAGACCGAGCAGACCGCCGCAGTTAGCCAGAAAGTCTGTGGTGCCATAGAGCTCGGAGCGGCGGGAGGTCAAGAATTGAGCCTCCTTAAAGAAGATCGAGATGCGAGACATCTTCATGCTGGAAAAGGAGAACTTTTAGCAGGGAAATCTACAATTTTTCTGCTCTTACCCTTCCACTTTCGCCTGCGCTTCCTTGCCCTCGGGCGTGTCTCGCTTGATGACCGTTTGGTAGTCAAAGTCCGCCTGGGAGATCTCTGCCTCGTAGGCTATGGAGGTGCAGGATGGCAAACAGTTGCACTCCGTCTCGCCGCGTGTATTCTCCCCCGAGGACAACAATCCCTGAGTGAACTCCCGAAGCAGCAGCTCATCCTCCGCCTGGTTGTAGCACTTGAGATTGGCAGCGCCACAAACGGGCATGTTTACATTGCCTGGAAGCGGGGGGGGCATGAGAATTTAGGGGATCAAAACGGGGAGGCAAACCTTACGCGGCATTGAGAACTTCACACATCCACACTTGGCTAGAGTAAAGTTCGCCAGGCACTCCAATTCGCAGTTGCTCTGCGAGTAAATATTGAAGAAACGCAAATCCTTTTCCTTCTGGAAGTAGCACTGTCTGCGGTTCGGCTCGTAGTGCTTCAGGCCATCCGATGTGGTAATGATCTTGGGGCGGATGGCGATGAGCACCTCCTGGTCGAAGGGTATGCGGAAGTACTGCTTCGAGACTTGAGCCACATCCCCGGGCGTGTGCAGCAGAATCTGAAAGGGAAAAGGGAGTTACCTTTGCTCGGTTGTTAAAGCGATTTGGCACCTTGAAACCCTGCACAGGACCGCGGCACATATCATCAAAGTCCAGCTCCACGCCGCCCATAAAGAGGTAGAGCCCCGCTCTGGAGCCAGGACCCAGCACACGATTGGGATAGGGCGAGGTATCGGCGCTGGCGCTGTAGCCATCCTCCACGTTCCAGTCCATGGATAAACGATTCTCCTCGCGGAAGATGAAGTCGGGTATGATGCTGGAACACTCCACAGTTTGAGAGGAAGCCGCAGAATTTGAACTAACAAAAGCTTACCCCTCTGGCCGATAGATCTCCGCTGGACTGAGCGAATTAAAGCTGTAGCAAACCCCATCCTCGGTGACAAATTTGTGGAAAATATCGCTGCACTTGACGGGCATATTGCGCCACTTGCAGTTCAGATACGTGTCATCGAAGAGGGGAGAAACCTCATTCAGTGCGTCAATGATCTCCATGCCCTTTTTGGTCTTCTTGCCGAGGGCAATGTCGTGCAGATGAGGCTCACAGACCTGCGTCACAGCGCCAAATAATTCTTTTCTAAGAAGAAACATAAAGAGAGGTTGGCGAATTCGTCCTGCTGCCAGTTCGGGTCTTACTCTTTGTCATTGAGATCCACTATGCCACTGACATTGTTGCCAAAGTCGCGCACCTGATGGTAGCTGTCCGTGAAGTTGAATATGGAGCGACGAGTCTTGGTCTCGGGGCACACCGTGACGGCGGGGAAGGGTATCTGCCAGACGGGCGTGGACTTCTCCGCGAAGCTCACAATCACCGGATTGTTGTTCCACTTGTCCCAAATGTTGAGCGTCAGCTTGCAGCAGGTGAAGATGGACAGCAGCAGCACACTGACCCAGAACAGACGCTCCAGCCAGGGGCGCTTCTTCTCGCCCAAATATCGTATGCCATGGATGGTCGTGTAGTCGCAGTACTCGTGCATAATGGCCTTGGCCGCCTGGAAGCCGCTGCCGTACTTGATCTGCTTCTTGGTATCCACCTCATCCGCGCTGTCATCGGAGACGCTCTCCCGGAATGCGGGCGCTGCCCTGGCCATCAGAGCCGCTCGTTTCCACTGACTCGCGCCGGAGAGCTGCACCCGCGACAGATCATGGCTGGGCGTGTGTGGCTGTGTGCTGTTGGTAGACATTCTGCCGAAACTCTATACGGGTCCGACCTGCTGCAGTTGCGTTGACAAAGTCAGGAGAGCGCACGCCAGGGCGTCGTCTTTTATATAGCCGACCGGAGAGGTGCGGCAGTGCCCGTTGGGGCCACGCTGTAGCTGCCCCCACAGGATTCCTGCACGCATCGTTCCGTATACGAGGAAATTCGTTAGGGTTTGGGTCGAGTTTCGGTTTTCGGTGCCGTTTCAATTACTTCATTTCGCATAAGCTGTTGAGTAATTTGCAAGCTCGCACCTGGCGAGAGTTCGAGGACTGTGTAGGAGTCCCCGGGGCCAGACTTGGAGTAATTGTTAGCCGCGCTGACCCATTGCCGGCTAAATGTTACCTTCGAGTCGCCGCTCTGCTCTGCTCTGCTCTGGGTGAGGCATTCTAATTAGCAGTCGCGCACTTTAAGCTCACTCCTAGACACAGTCGCAGTGCCAGTCCCCGTTGAGGTGCACCTGAAGTATGGCAGAAATTGAAAAGGCTGCGGCTCGGGCTTATGCATTTTAAATCCTGGCCGCAGACTCTCAACTTTGCTCGGCCAACTGCAACTGCAGGCGCGACCTCGAAACAAAATGGCAAACGGCCGCAGCAGCAAGCGCAGGTAATGTCGAGCCACATCCTCAGGTTAAGCGGTAACCACGGTCGGACCGGCAAAACACAGGATTGGAATCTTTTCCACGGCCGAACACGTAATCCACTTTGCACTAAAAAAAACAACCAAAAAGTTTTCAGCAGAATAATAATGAAAAAAAAATGTTTGAAAACATAAGAAAAACCAATTTAAAAAAACAAACTCCAATAAAAAACAAACATTAAAAAAACATCAAAAAAATAACTAAAAAAAAAAATTAACTTAAAAAAACATAAAAAAAAAACTAAAAAAAAATTTAAAAAAACTTAAAAATAACTAAAAACATAAAAAAAAGTAAAAACAAAAACTTGAATTTAAAACACAACACAAAAAAGAAATATATTCCAAAATAGACCGACAACTTTTTATCTTGCATGGAAATCAGCCGCCTCCTCATAGCCCCGCAACTAGAACTGGTTGGGAATTGCATGTCTTGTAACTTGTCCAAGCGGATCTTTACATATTCTTGCGAATTTGTACGTTAAAAATGACATTATCACATTCGGACAACTGGGAACACATAGCCAAAAAATCCTTCTTCTTCATGCAGTTCGAATGCATTGAGGATTTATTCGAAATCCTACAGGATATTGATGTCCTTTTGGGTGTCAATCGAATGGCAGGACTCTGCCGCTCACGGGGAGACCTGCCACATCCAGATCAGTAGATAAGTAGACGGGAAAGTTCCAAAAATGTATTAGAAGAGGCAGCGCGTGCTCCAAGGCTCTTCTAAAAGTCATCATGCCCTTAGCCCTTCAGTTTGTGGTCCAACAAAGCGCCGAAATAGCAACAAAAAGGAGGCGCACAGCAACACAACACGATGGGACCATTTTCGTTGTGCAATTTAATAAAGTTAACTGCATTCTGGCCCGGGCATTGTGTCTACATGTTCGGGGGGTGCATGGAACTTGCAAACTCCACAACAGCCAGCCAGGAAGAACTCACCTTTTGTTGGGACTTTTCATTAAGGTGGCACTTGGCTGGCAACAATGTTTGGCATTGTCCTTGTACGCTTCCTGTGTTGCCTGTTCCGACTCTAAATATTTACACACTCCAGCCCAGCCAGTGCCTGGCAGTCTGACGATCTTCATTTATTTTAATGAGCTCGCAAAATAGAATTTCTAATGCACCGACCGAGACTTTCCCCTTCATCAGCAGTAACTTCCTTTCGCATTCAAAAATAACTTGCCACTGAAACATATTCCAGCCGTATTTTAGTTTATATATTTTTGGTACTTCCATTTATTGAATACATTTCATTTTGCTTAAGCTGGAGGACATTGAATTGAATGTTGTTACAAATGGTTGTGTTGCCTGTTTGGGTTAGTGTTTAAATCCTATTTACATAGCAGCTACTTTTGTTATACATAATCCATACGATTGTGGGTATTTTAGTTTATAGTTATTAGGTTTGATTATGGTGTGTCGTCGCCTTCAATTTGTTTTTGAAACACTTGTTGTACCTAATGCTACTTTTGATATGCCATTTGCGTGGCTTTGCGGCGTTAATAAATAATGTAGAAAATAAAACAAAGCATTAACAATGATTCTTTCATTTGTATTTACAAAGCTCGTTCCTGACCGCTCTTAAGCCTCCTCCACAATTTTTACCTATACGTTCACTCTTTGCAGTTCATTCTGAAACACATAATATTACCAATACGATTATTACACATTATTGTAGGTACATTTACACACACGATTATGTAAATATGTATGTAAGTACATAATTGTTATGGCTAGCGATGCATTTATATCGGGCATCGGGCTTTCCTATGGCTAATTTAAAATGATATGTTCTTTTGCTGTTGTGTACGTACACTTTCCTCCCGGTTAGTCTGTTACAAAAATACTGAAGAATTGCACTTGTATCGGATGAACTGAAGCCCACAATCCAAAAGGCAGTGCGGGACGCCTATTGCGGTGCCAGAGCCAACCCGAGGCCATTGGACATCAGGCTCAGGGCAGAGGCTGCAGCTGGAGCCGCAGTGGGGCCAGATGTCTCCTGCAAGTGGGTGAAAGAGAAACGAAAGTTGCCACAATTAGTTCTCTCATAAGCAGCAATCTCGAAGTGTTGTTCCCCCCCTACTCACAATGCTCAGAGTACGCACAATGCAGGCGCGTGTGGCGGCTGGCGCTTCGTCCGTCTCGAGTCCCGGGGAGCTGCCGCGCGAGGACACCGAGCCATTCAGCAGCTTCCCATTCAGGTGCACATCGTCCGAGTGGCTGCTGGACAGTCGTCCGTCCAGCGACAAGTCGTCACGCTGCTGGTCCTGCAAGAGAAGCGTTTTGAGCAACAGCAAAACTGCTGAATGTGAGTGCAACGCACCGCCTTGGGACTGGAACTGGGACTAAATTTGATGTCCGCCAAGCAGTTTGTCTCCGTGTCGCTGGCAGTGCCGTTCTCCACCGAAGCGGAGAGCACAATGGCCTCGCCTGTGGGCGACATGTGGCCATTGCTGCTGCTGTTGTGGTTGTTGTTGCTAATTTTGTGATTGTTATTTGGCTCCTTGTTAAGTGTTGATGAGGCGACGGCAGCGACGGCGGCGACGGGGGGCAACTGCTTTGTGGCAGCCTCATCAGCCAGCAACGTTGCACTGGCCGTGGCAGTGGCATTGTTCAACGTGTGGTTGGCATTGGGCTGGCCCGCTGCCTCATCGCAGCCCAACTCGTAAATGTTGACCATATGCGCGGCCTGTGCGTGGACCATCAAATCCCAGGGATTGCCAAAGGCATCCTTGCAAACGGCGCAAAGCAATTTGGCGCTCGACGGTGGTGTCTCTGTCAAGTGTGCGGGGGGCAACATGCGAGAATTAATTAGTTATTTAAGTTGGAATTTACAGTACGGCCCATGTCCGCATAAATAACTCAATTTTAAATGCATTTGCAAGCAGCCGCAAGCCTCAGGACCCAGAGCCACAGCCAGACACAGACACAATCCTGGATATGGATAACTGTAGCCAGATGTTGCTGACTTGCCTTAGACAAACACTGTGGCCCTGAGCCTGAGCTTGGGGGGCAAAAAGTGTTTAACAATCATAAATTAATTGCCAACAGACAAGCTGCCACACCCAGTCGTCCCCAGTCGTCGTGCCCACTTACTTGCACTGGCCGCAAAGGCAACATCCTGGCACTTGCATGTGAACCTCAGCTTGCAATAACTCTTCTTGTGGTCCAATAACTCAGACAGCTCGCCAAAGCATTCCCGACAATTGCCGCAGATTAATGTATCCGGATTGCCTGCGAAAAATGTGCGACCAAAGCAAATATTTAACTTGCTGTCTTAATATAATGCTACAACAGATACAAAAAATATATAACACAAAAATATGCTCTCATCAATAAATGGGCTCCATCGTATTCCTTATGGGAATGGGCCACAGCTTGGACTGCGCCTCTAGGAGTCGCTGCCTGTCCAGGACCCCGCGCTGCTTGCGGCTGGTCTCCAGCTCCTTGTGGGCTGCCTTTTCGCGGCGATAACGCAGGAGATTGGTGTAGGCCTCCACCTCAAGATCGGGTCGATAGACATGTCGCAGGTGGCGGGGCTGCTTCTGCTGCTGCTCCTTGGGCTCTTGGGCATTCTGAAAGTTCAGCGAGAAGCTGATGGGCAGCAGGCCGCTGGCTTGCTTGGATTTCTTGGTGCAACACGGCAGCTTCTTGGCGGTGCTCTTGCCCTTGGGCTTGGCCGTGGTGCTGCTGGTGGCCTTCCCCTTGGCCTTGTTCTTCTTCGGCTTGACAGGCTTCACGTCCACAATGACCTTCTCCCCTTCCTTGGGCTCCTCTGTCGCTTCGCACTCATCGGGCGGCTCTGTTGGGCAGTCGTTCGAGTCCTCCGAGGCATCAGGTGCAGCCTCGGTGCAGGCCAGTCCGCTCGGTTCTGGCTGGTTCTTGGGGCGCATGCCAAAAAATTGTTGCAACTGCTGCAGCAGCGGCGCTTGGCCATCGCCTGTCAGCGCTGTGCGCTGCTGCCGCAGCTCCTCCGGCTCGGCATTTGGCTGTGGCACGGACAGCGGCGTCAACTGCGGCACATTTTCCTCCTCCTTCGCTGACGGTGTGATGAACGGCACCTGCTGGGCAATCGCCTCCACCACAGCGGGCATTTCCATGAGTTTCTTGAGCGATTGATAGGAGAGTTTCGAAGGGCGAAACTCAGCAATGTCCGCGTCCTGCTGCTGCTGCTGTTGCTGCTCCTCCTTCTGCATCTGCTGTGGCTGGCTCTTCGTGGCGTAGCGATTGATGTCCGACGGCTTGAGCAGACTCTCCTTGAGGCTCAGCAGCCCGTTGACGTAGTCGGGCGCCAGTTGTGGCAGCGTGGACAGCGGCTCATCTAGCACAAAGGCTGGCCAGAGCGGCTGCTCCTGCGACTGGCTGTGGCTCTGGCTCTGGCTCTGGCTCTGGCTCTGCACCACGCTCAGCATGGCCATGAGCACAGCTAAGACGGCGATGCCACTTGCCACGCGTTGACACATTTTTAACACACAAGCACACAAAACAGTTGAGAAGCGAATGAGCTGCCACACAGATTGTTGTTTGACTGATGAATCAAGGAGCCACTGGCCGAATGTTGCTGCTTAAAGCTGGAATTATCAAGTGGCAGAACACTCCCCCCACACCCACACACCCACACACACGCACACCCCTTTGGCATTCCCCAAAGTCAATACTCACTGTACACTTTGAAAGGTCCCAAATGCTGATGCAAACTTAATTGCTCCCGTTGCTGCTGCTGCTGTTGCTCCCTTTGTTGCTGCTGCTGCTGTTGCTGCTGCATCAATTGGCTGTGCAACTGCAGCGGCTGCGGTTGCTGTGGGGACAATGCCAGCGTTAATGGCTGCAGCAGGCAACCCAATTGTTGCTGCTGTTGCTGCTGTTGCTGATGGGCAAAGACCCCGACCCCGACCCCAGCAGCAGCTCCACTGCCAAGGCCTGAATACTGTTCGGCAAGCGACGTTTGATTAGCAATTATTGCTGACTTTGCATTCTGTGGCGATGTCGTTGCTTGGACAGCCACGCTGCTCTTCAGTTGGAATCCAAATTGTTGTGGAGGCTGCTGCTGCTGCTGCTGCTGTTGCTCCTGTTTGTATTGCGACCAGTGGAGTGCGCCGGGCGCCGCTGTTGTGGCTGCTGCCGTGGCAGCGGCATTCGAGAGCAAACTCTGCTGATGCAGCAGCAGTTGCTGCTGCTGTTGTGGCAACAAATTGGCCATCGCCGCCATGGCAACAGCAGCCACCTGCTGCTGATGATGATGTTGCTGCTGCTGCTGTTGCTGCTGCTGTTGATGTTGCACTTGCTGTGCCTGTGCCTGTGCCTGCTGCTGTTGCTGGTGATGCACGGCTGCTGCTGCAGCTGCGGCCACTGCGGCAGCCGCACTATGATGATGCTGTCCATGCTGCTGCTGCTGTTGCTGCTGCACGGCCACGGCCAGGCCATTGCCATTGGTCATCAGACGCTTGCGCTTCTTGGCACGCACTCCATTGGAGCCGCCGCCGCGTAGCAGGGTGGAAGAGCAGTAGCTGTCGTAGAAGTAGTCCCTGCAGGCAGAACAAAGGAGGGGGCTAAGTTATAAGCTGGACAAACATTTGCACGCTAATTGAAGTGTCAGCGAAAAGGCAGCCACAGGCTAACCTTTTGCCATTAACTCTGCTAAATGAACAATCTGCCCCAACTGTTGCCGCCCCAACCGCCGGAGAGTCTCTACAAGTCTGTCAGTCAAGCCATCAGCTTGTTTCTCCTTCCCTCCGTCAGTCAATATTTGTTTAGGCTTCGCCGTTTGTATTGTCATTTGGCAATTGTCTGCCCGTCTCGGGTTATGTTGCCACTGATTGATACAATGGCCCGAAATACACACCAAAACCCCAGCCCCAGGCCCTGCCTCTGCTCCATTTGTGGTCAAATGAGTGGGCAACAATTGCGGCTGTGTCCGTCGGTTTGTGTGTGGGAGAGAGAGAGAGAGAGAGAGAGAGAGAGTGCAACACCTGAGTGAATCGATCCCTGGGTTGGGCACATGACATGTTTGCGTTTTAATTACAATCCTGCGTTGTCCCTTTTTAAAGCCTTAACGCATTTCGCTTCGGCGTCATTAAGCTTAAATTAAATATTTCCACACGAGTGGCAAAAGGCTGATGGAGGCGCCGGAGACTCAAGAGCCCAAATAAATTGTGAATGTCGCTCAGTCATCATTAAGGCCGCGCCAGGACAAACAAGTGCACATGTCAGAGCCAGAGGCAGCTCCTGGTGGTGGAGTCGAGACAGCCAGGACATTATGGCATACATTGCAACTGTCACTCACAGCTCGCAGCAAAAGCAACCACGGACGGGTGTGTGTGTGTGTCTGTTGACGCAGCACTCGAACCCACTACCCACACGGACAGAACAGAACTCGACTGACCCACACACAGACTGTCTGCACGACAGAGAGAAACTTGGTCTGGAGACTCGGCCATTCGGTTGACAGCCAAATATTTTATGCCAGAAACAAAAGGACGAACCTCTCCCTCTCTCTCTCTCTTTCATGCCCATCGCCTGATGAATTGTTTCGCTATTTGTTTTATTTATTTTTGGGCCACGGAACGTTGGGGCAACACCCCCCCCGCCCCACCCCCCGGTTCCAAGCGAAAGTCAAGCCGTTAAATGATATGTAAATAAACTCTAAAATGAGTGCCACATGGCCCGTGAGCAAAAGTAACTTTTAGATTAAATTGAAATGAGCTGCAGGCGGTTTCACTCACCAATCGTTGCCGGTTTTGCTCACATTCTGTCGCTTTCTGCCGATTTGGTGCGCCTTCGGCTCGGCCACCATGTTGACATCTGCAAAGGGAAGAGAGTGGAGAGAGAACAAAGATTAGATGGAGAATGGACTGGCCCACTTCTAATTGCAAAAGGCAATCTGCTGTGTATAAAAACATAAACAAAAATACTTTCGGGTGGCTGTTGCTTTGAAGTCTTTGCACAAAGCCCAGCAGGACAATGGCCTGGCATCCTTTTTGACTATCTTTATCATTTCAGTTGCCTTCATTATGCAAATGAATGGACTGTGTGCTCCCCGTCTCGGCATACATGCAACTATGCCCAGCTGCAATTCAATCTGACTTCAGAGTCCACAGCCAATGATTAATCTCAATAAAACTGCACGCCACAACAGGCACAGGCAATGCTGCTCCATTCGCTCTGTTGCCATGCAGGGAACAAGCTAGAAAGAACATCGATAGCTCCCCTTTAAAGGGTATACGAAGATCAGGCAGGCAGCAAGAGGACCTCCCGTGCATTTCATTTTTCAATGAAAAGGGTGCGACAGAGGCTTTTTTTTTTGGGGCTAGAGCCTGGATATCCTGATGGGGGAAGACACTCGTACGGCCCACGCTCGTTCATCATAATTCATGACAAAGTTTGAAGTGCTCCGCAGGGGGTCTGAGGCTGAGGCAGAGTCAAAGCTGGGGGTGTGGAGACGTTGCTGTAACTACAAATTGGTGGCTGACTGGGCGGAGGTTCCGGGGGCGGGCGTGATGGCTTTTCCACTTGCTTTCCTTCCTTATTTTGCTTTCTGCTTTGTTTCAGTCTTTTGCATTTCTTTGGCTGTGTTGCTGCTGCTGTCTGACTCTGCTCGGCTGGCAGGCTATAATTAAGATTAAGGATAAAAGCGTAAGAAGGATTTCCAGCTTGGAAATGCTCCTTGGTGCTGTCCAGCGCCGCATTCCGCCCGACTGCCAGAGTCAATGGCGCGTAGCCATGAAATATTACAGGCTGCGGCGTCTCCACTTCACTCTGCGGCGACCCGAGGGTTGTTCTCGTTTCTCGTTTCTCGTTTCTCGTTCCTAATCAGTGGAATTAGCATTCCACATTTAGCATTCTGCATTTGCATAAGCAGAGCGAAAGCCTTTTATGACTGCTGTTAAGTTCTTTCCATTTTGCCTGAATATGAAGCATCCGCAGCGTTGCCAGCGGTGCATCTTCCCACTCCCATTCCCATTCCCATTCTCTTTCCCTTTCCAACAGCTGACACAGCGCACTAAGTGCATTAAGTTGTTCTTCACACGAGCACACACAAAGCAGGAGGAAACGCACTGCCAAAGTTGCAGCTGCAACTGGCAACTGGAATTATTTCATTAAACGCTCAAACATTAAATTGCCAAACAGTCAGGCAGGCAGGCAGGCAGGCAGGCAGGCAGACAGACAGCCAGTCAGTCTGTTGGTTGTTGGCAGGTAGCGTCAGACAGCAAAAACATTGAAATTTCATTAAAAGTATCGCGGCAAGATTTATGTCCGCCGCACTTTAAGTCTTGCTGCGGCCTGCAGCCACTTCCGGGCAGAGGCAAAAATACTCAGACAGCCGCCACGAAGATATGGCCACTACACATGCCAGCCGGCTGCTTGGCCGGCTCCTTCATTACCATTGCCAGTGACTGCCACTATGTATGGCAGGCAAAGTCCCTTCCTCCCCTTTTGGTTTTGGTTTTGGCTTTGGTTCGATTTTAGTGCTGCGCTTCCGGTGCCGGCGGCGGCCATTAACCTGAGCGAACCGCGTACGGCCATCCTCGTGCCACAATGGACATGCAACTATTGCCTGTGCCAGGAGCGAGGGTTAAGGTCTGGAATGTCTATGCAAAGCAGCCGTGGCCTCGAGCTCTCTTGGCGCAATTTTAAAGTGGCAAAATGATTAAATTGTAACTACAATTTCTCCAAAGAGCAGCAAACATCAACCATGCATAACAGCCACTAAATATGCCCAAACATTGTAAGTTCTGCTGATTTGAGTTAGGTCTAAAAACCCACCTAAAGTCTGACTGAGCACCGTCTTGCCATCCTCGCCGTGGCAGGCATTGCGCGCATCGAAGGGATTGGTGAACTGCACAAAGGCATAGCCCTTATGCATGGATATGCCTGTGAAACAAAAGGATAACCAAGTTAGCTGTGGGAGTGGGCACTTGCTGCTCCAACTTACCCGCCAGTCGCCCATAGATCTGGAACATGCGCTCCACGTCCGTTTTGGAGCATTGAAAGGTATTCAGATTGCCCACAAAGATGCGCGAGTTAACCGCCTGCGGATCCTGGGAGTTCGTTTGGTTGGACAGCTTGGACAGCTTCATGGTTGTGCTGGCGGCAGGACCAAGGCCACCCAGGGACACAGGCACGGACACGGGCACGGGCACCGGTGCAGCCGCGGCGCACGTGTGTCCAAAGTACAAGAAAGCAATCCTGGCGACTCCTTTGTGTTCCTCTTGTTGTTCTCTCTCTCTCTTGCTGTATTTGCTGCCTTTTTTGCGTCACTTTTTAGGTGTATTTTCCGCGTTCCCTGCTGCTGTGCTGCGGCTTAGACTGTTCTTTGTTGACGGCTTTGCATGCACCGCTGCAGCTTATTTCATTTGCTGCGGGATTGCAGTCCTCCCAGCTGACTCCTCACTTTTGCAGCTGCAAATCTGTGACTGGCCGCAGATTGTCCGGCTTTGGCTCGATGAAATCTGCAACAAATAAGACCACACAGCAAGTGCGTTTCACAATAAATAAAAATACCAATTCACAATTCACAATTCACAATTCGCTTTTTGTTTTATTTCTATCCCTTCTCCCTACCCTGTTCCCGTCTGTCTCCCTCTCCCTGTCGCTGTTGTTGTTTGTCCTTTGGCTTAAATATCAAATGAATATCAGCGTATCCGCTGCATTGGTTTCTCTGCGCTTATTTGCGTTTCATTTGAGGGAGTACTCTGGACTCTGGACTCTGGTCTCGGTTTTGTGTTGTTTTTAGTGCCTCTTTAATGGAAAGAGACTTTTTGGCAAGTTGTTTTCTGTTATGCTTTAGTTACAACTTGCCCAAGCTGTTGTCTGACTGGTATAAGAAACCCTCTTTCCAATCGCACTTATTAAGAGCTCTTTCCAAATGCATAGAAACAACTTCCTGGAACTTCAAAGCTTCCACCTCGATCCTGCTCTCGCCTTCGTTTGCTGCTTTGCCCCTGGTCCTGCTGCTCCGATATTTATGTCCATTTGCTTTTACTTGGAACATGTTTTGTGCTTGTTATTAAATTAAATAACTTTCAAATGGCTTACACATACGAGGAGGAGCAGCAGGATTACCCCTGGCAGGAGTCACACTCGTTGCCAACACCTCCTTGGGGCAAGAGTGAGAGTGAGGCAGAGCGAGACACAACGTAACTCTGTCGACGCTCATGTAAAAGTGAAAAATTAAGCGTTTTTATTGCGCTTTCGACGGAGAGACTGCTGCAGTGCCTGCTGCCTGCCTGCCTGGCTGTATCCTGGCCCCGTGCCACACATTGTGGCAACATGTGTCTTCAATGTGTGCGTGTGGCGCTGGTCCTTTGCATGGCACACACACAGTCGGGGCATTAATATGTACAAAAGACGTGCATGAAATAAAAATAAAACATGCAGCAATAAAAATAAAATACTCGTGTACTAGCAAATTGTTAATGCGATTTTTATGCAATCGCGCGACGCTCCCCCAATCCTCCACCCTCTCCCTTTATTGCAGATTTATGACCATGTGGCAGTTGGTGTTAATTGGGTAAAACCTTTTTGTGGGCAAGAGTCTGGGGCTCGAGCTCTAAAGAGCAGCCAAATCAGCTGATTAAAGCGTGTTGCATGCCGCCAAATGTTGCAAAAGAATTTGAGAGCTAACAAATAGTTTTTCACTTGTAGAACAAAAATTATTGCACAGCTTTTGAGCATGAAAATAAATTAAAATGCCATTAAAAATTATTAAAACTTAATTAATAGCAATTAAAAAATGCATTTTTCTAAACATTCGAAACTTTACTCTTGGAAAAAAGGATTCCACAGTTTTTTAGCATGAAAATAAACCAAATATAAATTTTAGAAAGGACTATCACACAAAAAATGCCATTAAAAATTACTTAAATTGAAGTTAATGCATTAAAAAATATATTTATCGAAACATTAGTGTTTTACTCTAAGAAAAAAAAATTATTGCACAGCTTTTGAGCATGAAAATAAATTAAATATAAATTTTAGACAGGATTCTCGCACAAAAAATGCCATTAAAAATTACTTAAAACTTAATTAATAGCATTAAAAAATGCATTTTTCTAAACATTCGAAACTTTACTCTTGGAAAAAAGGATTCCACAGTTTTTGAGCATGAAAATAAATTAAATATACATTTTAGACAGGACTAAAGGACACAAAAAATGCCATTAAAAATTATTAAAACTTAATTAATAGCATTAAAAAATGAATTTTTCTAAACATTCGAAACTTTACTCTTAGAAAAAAGGATTCCACTGTTTTTGAGCATGAAAATAAATTAAATTTAAATTTTAGAAAGGACTAAAGGACACAAAAAATGCCATTAAAAATTACTTAAAACTTAATTAATACCATTAAAAAATGCATTTTTCTAAACATTCGAAACATTACTCTTAGAAAAAATGATTCCACTGTTTTTGAGCATGAAAATAAAAAAAATATAAATTTTAGACAGGATTCTCGCACAAAAAATGCCATTAAAAATTATTAAAACTTAAAAAATTAATTTTTCCAAACATTAGAAACATTACTCTTTAAAAAAAATGACTCCACATTTGTTGAGCATGAAAACAAAATAAAAAATAAATTTTAAATAAGATTCTCACACACAAAAAAGATCGAAATGCTCTTAAAAATTACTAAAACAAAGTAAAATGCGTTAAAAAAATAAATTTATCGACACTTTAAACTAAAATCTCGCAAGTAAATATCAAAAACCAATTCCAGAACCCGGCTGGAGGGTGTAATGCCTTGAGTAAAGTGTAATCATTGATCGGTATCAAAGGCCTTGTGGCCATCAGCTTTATTAAAAGCGTTTTCTCGCATTGTTCGGCATAAACCAAAGAGAGAGAGAGAGAGAGATGGTGAGATAGAGATAGCTAGAGTGAGTGCGAATAAAGGGTAGGCTGTGAGGGATATTCATGGCTGTGGCTGGCTGCATTGTGCGCCAGTTATGAGTGAAAGGCGCTCTTTATTTATTATAATGGCATTCCTGCCTGCCAGCCGATTCATCCATTCATTCCACCCATTCAGGCATCCATTCAACCATTCACTCACTCGAGCAGTCAGTCATTCAAAAGCTTTCTATTTTTGTGTCGCATTGTCCTGGCAAATGAAGGAACATCCCTGCCGCCGGCTCAATTTTGAGCCTTTCCCCCACGGTTGTTGTGGTGGATTTTGAGGTGCAGACAACAACAATCAGCGCAGCCCGGAGCCAGAGCCAGAGCCAGAGCCCGCATTGAATAATCGCTTGAATATGCAACACTTTTCGTGGCCTACTTTTCGACGCCGCAGGCGTTTTAATGAACGCAACTTTAATTAAGCAAAAAACAGCAAGAAACGAAGGCAGGAAGTAGGACGATGACAAATTAAAGCTGCTGCAAGTCCTCACATCAGCAGGTGGCTAAGTCGGATGCTGTGTGTGTGTGTGTGTCTGCTCCTTCAGTTAAGCGAGTGCCGCAAAGTGCTGAAGTTAACTTGGATGCTTAATTATAATTAACTGCACTGCCAAGCGGCAAGCCCTGCCCCTCGCTCTCTCAGCCTCTTGCCTCCTGCTGCTGTTGTTTTAGGCCCAGGACAAAGCCTGCCACTGGCTGCACTTTTATTTTCCAGACGCCTGAGCGCAAAAGTAAATTAAGACGCCATCGTGGCAAAAAAGTTCCAGGCAGCAGTGCGGGAAGCCGTCTCCAATCCAGCCTCAACCTTGTAATTGCGTGTGTGGGAAAATGCACACAAAAATAGTCTTTGCCGGGCAGATATCTCGGGTATAACTTTAGGGCAAAGGCTGATTTAGGGACTCTCTTCACCCACCAACTGCTTAATTACTTCAGCTGCATCCTGTGCGGCTGGCATTGTCTACGGCTTAAAGTCAACGACTTGTGTGGTCTATATTATATCCTTTTTTGCTGCACTCTTCGGTTAAAGCGGAGTTGCTCTGTGGCGGCCACACGACGTGCTATAAATAATGCAGCAAGCCATTAGGCTGCCGCTGCTAGAGCTGAGCAACGATGTGGCAATGTGCTCTGGCCGGGCAGGATTATCGGTGGCAGGCGATCAAATGTCAAAGGACACATTTCGTCACCACGCCTGTTGCTATTTACTGCCTACGAGTACGCCTCTATAGGGGGTGGGTCTCCTCGCATATTTCTTTCCTTCCTTTCCATGTTTAAATGGCAGAAGAACTTTTCATTTGAGAATTGCTCGGGGGAGTGATGATGGCGGCACAGCCCCGCATAGCGCCACACAGAAAAATGAATAGACATCTCCGTGGCCCATTCAGAAAAGCCAAAAAGTCAACAAAGGGAAACCAAACAGTGGGGACTGAGGATGGTCTCGGTCTCTGGCCACGAGTCGTGCCAGATAGAGCGACAAATAACCCCAATTGAATGGGGAAGTAAGTGGGGATGGGTAAGGGGCTTGTGCATGGGAATGGGAATGGGAATGATGATGATGGCATGTGTGTATTGACAAGCCAGCAAACAACTTTATTCATAAGCAGTCAAACAGGACGAGGCCAGGACGGACGGACACGACACGACACGACCCGAACCCGGCCAGACGTGACCCTCCCGAACCCGGCTAGGCCGCACCGCAGACAGACAGACAGACAGAATCCGGGGGAATGCATATGCGACCAGAGATGACTACACGTCTGCCTGCGATAACTCAGTGGAGTTTATGGAACACACCCAGACCAGGGATGCTCCTGCTTCTTTCTGCTCATTCTCCTCCCGTTTTGGAAACTTTTAAATTCCTGGAAAGAGCCCAACATTGTCGATAAGCGGCGAACGTGCCACTGAATGTTGTGCCAGCTTTCTGCAACAGGCTGAAGAAAGAGCAGCCCCGAATTCGATCTGCTGGCATAAATTCCACTATGCTGTATGAGCCTCAATGATGCCATGCTGCTGCTGTTAATTTATTGTAATTCACAAAGCAATTTACAGAGCATTAAAAAGAGGAGAGAAACAAGCAAACTGAAAGGGATAAATGTGATTTAAATATATGCACATTTATATTTGCAAGCGTGCGCGTATTAAGTGCCAACTATTTGCATAAATAACAAGAAATTAATAACAAACACTCGGCGCCATGGCAGCAGCCGCACAAAAGTTAATAATTGCCGCATGTCAACAGCAGCAGGACATGTGTGTGTGTGTGTGTGGGGGGGAAAAATATCCCAAAAGAGGAGGGAACAACGAGTAGCAGCCACGACTGAAATACCATTTTATCACTTGACAGTAAATGCGTTTTATTGCGCTGCTCATTAAATAAATTAAATTTGCAAGCGAACGGCTGCAAAATGGAAACGCAACAGCAACAACAAAATAAAGTATTTAAACAATTAACACGAAAGAAAATGCACGCGATGGACACTCATCTCCGCGGGTGTCCCAGCTTTTCCGATCCACGCATTTATTTATTAAGTTTAATTGCTGCCAGAAATATACATTTAATTTATTTATAATTACTCGAAAGCAATCTTAAAACGGGCCTCAAACATGTTGGCATTGATGTCAGCACATTAAGTGTCCCAACGTAAAGGATGTCCTTGGCCCAGGGTAGATCTTGAATAAAGTGATCGATAAACCTGTAAGCGGGAATCATTGCCAAAGCTTTGGGTGATAGCCAAAATGAATGTTTTACCACACTTTTAATTTCAGCATTTAATATTTGAATGCAGCCTGAAAATATGCTTTCGAAAATATTTGATTCCGATGTTGGGCGCTCCCAAAGAACTCCATGAAAATATCTAGAATAATTAACAAGAACCGATTCAAAATAGTGCGAAAATGTTCCAAATTAGACATGAACTTGGGATTAATATTTATTGCTAAATTATAAGTACTTATAAGGATAAGTACGTACCACTCGCACTCTTACTCTTATTAGAGCTGCCCTGTGGCAAACTGTTTGCAGGACTGTTAAAGTGTTGAATTTATAGCTGCTCGTCGGCTGCAGTGTTGTTGTGGCTCCTGCAGTCATGTGGCAAACACACACACACACACACACAAGCAGACACATTTGTATTTGTTTTATTTTGCTTTTTTTTCGGGTCGGCTCTGCGGTTCTTTAGCGTGCATTCATTCATTATCGCCACGTCTGTATCCGTATCTATAACTGTGTGTGTGTGTGTGTGTGTGTGTGTGTGTGTGCGGTTCGTCTGGTGTGGCAATAAAAATGGCTTGAATATTTTCCAGTTTGTTATGCATTTCTCTGGCACTTGGAGTGCAACAACAATTATGAATAACTCTCTGCACATAATGGTTCGTAGCTGATGCCCGAATGTGGGGGCGTGGTGTCTCTGTGCGTGTGTACAGGATCGATTACGGACAAGCAGTCGGAGTGCGGGGTGGGGCCTATGTGCATATATCATTTCAGCAATTACGTGGCAAGGGAGAACAGATGGGCCAGATGGGAACCTATGGGCAGGCAAACGATGACGTTTGCGACAGTAATCAAATAATTGTTGCTCCGACTGTCAGTTATATGTATGAATATATGTAAATATGTACTATTATGTATGCCTGTACATACTCGTATCATTCCTTTACCACATGACTCTCTCGCTTTTCGCTTTAATTATTTGCACAGTTTTCCACTTTTTGCAATGGGATTCTGTTGCAAAAGGGATTGGCTCATTGTTTGTCATTAAATCCATGTCATTTGTTCTTAATTTGGTGCATGAAATGCGTTTGTTATTCGTTTATCGTAGTTTAAAGCCAGGCGATCATTTGTGTAACCAGCAAGGACAGGAAATCCAGTCGGGTTCAGTCCTGTTACTCTTCTTAGACTTCATTTAAACACAAAAAAAGGTTAATTTTTATTAGTTGCACTGCCCAATGAAGGATCAAATTTATTTCCATGATCCACCATCATCCATTAACACCTGACCTGGCGATGGAATAACAAAATCGAATCGAATCCATTCGCAGGCGTTCCAGCGAAACAGAAACAGTTATTCCAATTGAACGGATTCCATTGGTGATTTAATTGTAGTGGATTTTTCAACAGTAAATTCCATTAAAAACATTTTGAAATCATTTTGATTATTGAAATTCCCAACTCACACTCAAATTGGATCAAATTCATGGTCATTTATGGTCGGATTCATATTCATTTTCTATCAGTCACATGGGAGGCAGAAGCATTGGGCGCCTATTTAATTATCCAATTACAGTGGCAGCAGCGCACGAAAAATTAACCTCAACGGGGAAAACATTTCCCAGCCAACACTTTAAAGCACTTCCCTGTAAAAATGCATGAAAATTCATTGAAATGTGGCGGAAAATTGTGGGAGTGTTAGGCTGGAGACTGGGCGGCACACAAACATCGGTATTTGGTTGGATTTTTGGGCTATCGCTTTTTGCTGAATGCGGATTCGGTTTCGGTTTCGGTTTTGGTTACGGATTCGGTTTGGTTTGCTGTCGATATTTTGTGCATTTTTAAGCCCTTCAAGAGGAGGGTAACCACGAATATTTGCAAGGCAGAAAGGTATCGATGGGATATCCTTTTGTTTTGGATTTAATCACATATGCGGTCAGCGGCTCAGCACTTCCCAGGCACTGGCTAGACACTTTCCTACTCTCAATTAAGCTTTCCTTTGCAAGAGCATTTGCAACTTCGGTCATTCAAAATTCCCTTTTTTTCCGCCAACACACGCATTTTTGCGGTCCATTAAAACAGTCAATGGCAGAGCAGAGCACAGACAGCGCAGCAGCGGCAGCAGACGCCATCCATTGAGTGTCTGTGTTTTGTATTGTAACTAATTTTAACGGCAACGACAACATCAGCACTAGCCGCAGCAGCAACATCATAATCATCGGCAGCGATAGCATAACGGGCAGGGAAATTCATGGAAAAGCCGCGGACAAATATAGAAAACTCTACAAAAAAGACCAAAGCAGGGTCAAGTAAAGAGAGAGAGAGCCGCTCTCTGCGGCGCTCTGACTAACGTCACCACATGTGTGCGGATGACTCACTCGGCTACGGCAGTGTGACTAATTTTCGAGAGGCGACTGTCGCTTTGGCTCTCTCTCTTGCTATGGGGAGCGTGCGCAACGTACTCAGCGGCAGGTAGCTGAGCGCATTCAAGCAAGCGAGATGGCCTGCTTTCAAGTGGCGCAAGGCATACCCAACACAGGTATGGGGTAACTCAGCAAGTCCGCTCGCTTCGCTTGCCGTAGAAAAAGATTTAGGCACCCGAAGAGCGTGGCCCAACCTATTATGACTGGTCCGTGGCCCCCACAAAATATTTGGAGAGCGCCAGAGCTTTGGATTCTGTCAGCAATTTTCATTGCTTCTCTGCTCACTGAAGGCGTCGTTTGGGTGTGTTTTTCTGCGTAGTTGCTGGCCAATCGATCGCATGCACTTCTGGAGGCACTTCTCCTCTCCTCCCTCCGTGCGGGCACTCAACTAATTCATTAACAAATATTTGCTTGTGAAAAAGAAGAACAGTGCCGTCACATATGCATTTAATGCTGGAATAACTGTTGATCCACAATTGCAATCCACCAAAACTGTGAGTCTTTGTGTGCGTTCGTGTGTGTGTGTGTGCTGGTGCGTGAGCAAAAATTATTGTATAATCGCCAAAAAAAAAACTTAAAAACGCCAACGCGAGAGCGAAAAACTTGTTGAACGGCAGATCCCCGCACACCCCCGCTGAGCCGACGAACCAGCGAACCGACGAACCATCGAAACACCGAACCACCACCCACTAGCAATCTATAGACTTACGGCGGTGACTACGTCATGCAGGCCATCAAGTGCGTTGTTGTTGGCGACGGAGCCGTGGGTAAGACCTGCCTCCTGATCAGCTACACAACCAATGCCTTCCCCGGTGAATACATCCCCACGGTGTTTGACAATTACTCGGCCAACGTGATGGTGGATGCCAAGCCGATCAATCTGGGACTGTGGGATACGGCCGGGCAGGAGGATTACGATCGATTGCGTCCGCTCTCCTACCCGCAGACGGATGTCTTCCTCATCTGCTTCTCGCTGGTCAATCCCGCCTCCTTCGAGAACGTGCGCGCCAAGTGGTTCCCGGAGGTGCGTCACCACTGTCCCAGTGTGCCCATCATTCTGGTGGGCACCAAGCTGGATCTGCGCGATGACAAGGCTACCATTGAGAAGCTCAAGGACAAGAAGCTGACGCCCATCACATATCCGCAGGGACTGGCCATGGCCAAGGAGATCGGCGCTGTCAAGTATCTGGAGTGCTCTGCCCTGACCCAAAAGGGCCTGAAGACGGTCTTCGATGAGGCCATTCGCTCTGTGCTTTGTCCAGTGGTGCGCAAGCCCCCGCGTCCCAGGTGCAGGCTGCTGTAGGGCGGCGACGACAACAAAGAGAGAGAGCGAGCGAGCGAGCGAGAGAGAGAGAGAGAGAGAGGACAAAGTGCAGAAACTCTTTTTTGCAGAAAGAAAACAAAAAAAAAGAAACATAAAATAATGCATGGGTTTACAGTTACAGCTAATGTACGTGTGAGAGAGCGTGTCAGAGTGATTTAATGAGAGCGGAAGAGAGCGTGAATGTGTGAGTGAGTGAGTGAGCCAAGTTGTGTTAAAACAAGGTGAGGCGTTCAAGCACCTTAAAAAAAAAGGAAAAGAAAAGAGAGAGCGGGCAAAGAAAATCAACAACTCGATCTGGGGAAATGGAATGCCTCACCTTATAAAGAAATACCAGCGTAATTTTTGGTTTTTGTTGTCAGCTTTATGTGTGCTGTGTGCAGCAGCAGAAATAATCATTGAGAGTGCATCCAGCAGGGCAAAGCAGGGGGCCAGAGGACCGAGCACCCACTCATGACTGTGTGTGGTTTGCGTGTGTGTGAGACAATGGGTGTCTCAGGCAGCAGGAAATGTATGACAAATCAAATAAAATTAATTGTAAATAAATCTAGATACACGCACAACACTGTCATTGCAGGAGATAAGAGCTCCCCGTTTGGGAGCCCCGCCCAATCTGGGGTGGGATATTTGTGGGGAGCTTTCAGTTTTAGTTTTGTATTTTTTTGCATTTCATTTATATAACGTGTGAATAATGTCTGAATTATGTATGATTAATGCCACAACTAAAGCCCCCATTTGGCACTACTTTTGATGTTAATCGATCCACTGATATATTTATAGCCTGATTTTGAACGAGAGTGCGTGCGCAGACACTTTGCCAAATTGTTTTTACCAACCAGAACCCTAATTTATATACATACAAATATATTAACCATAATTTACTACTAAAGTGTAATGTTAATAAACAACAATACCACTGTAAAAAGCAAAATAAAACGGATTACAAGTGAATTATTTGGCATGCAAATGGATTTGGGCAGCTCGGCACTTCAGATATGTGCAACGCAGCTAATTGTTTTAGGATTTACAGCAGGAGCAGGCTCTGCAGTAGGAGTTATTAGTAAAATGTATATAGAAATATGTATCAGCTTTTTGCCAGTACATTTTTATTCTGGAAAACATTTTCTTTCGGAAAAAAAAACAGCATACTTTCAGGTGGCGGAGACAAATGCCATCCACATCCAGAACTCTAATCTTATCGTCACAAATTGTGATAATTATTTCCGATTGCCGTACGACCGGATGTCCAGAATCCCCTTTTGTCACCGTTCACTAAGCAATTTGCCAGGGCATAATCATAAACAATATTCCCTCCCCATCATTCACGGCATATTTTGCTGTTGCCAATTTCTATCTATATTTCGATTGTCATAATGAGCGAAAGCGACAACGTCGACAACCGCCAGCTGTTGATTGATTGCCCCAAAGCAGAAGTACAAGTGGAGGTGCTGAGGTGTGTAGAGGTGGACTAGTGGGTGGCACGAATGTGGGCGCTGATGTAGGGCAGAGTGTGTGCGCCGAGAATGTCAGTGGGCTATGGCTCGTTAGCGGTTGGGTGGGATCTAGAGGTGGCATCGTGAATGGCATATACAGACAGCAAAGTATGGTACAACTTTGTGCCAAAACCTTCGGCTAAGAACTGCTTGAACCAATCGTTCAGGCAGGCAGCTTCTCAGCAAATTTCACTGACATTTTCGTGCCTCTATGCCCTGCACGGACACGCACGCATCGTAGTTCGGGGCCATCCCTAGTTGGCATCGCTCTTCCCAGTGTGAAATTAACAAATAATTACGTAAGGCAACCTGCTGTTCCGCCTCCTCAGAAGTGGAGAGCTCCCCACCCTCCACACTCTTACGCACAAAAGCGTCTCAAAGCAATTCAATGCCAGGCACTGCCTCTGATGGATGTGCTGCTGGTTCCACCGCTGTCCTGCTGCCTGCTGCCTGCCGCCCATCATTTTTGTGTGTGACGCGACGAATCGCATAATTGACCCACATTGTGAGCAAACATCTCTGCCAGAAGAGATGCACTAAAGTCACTTTAATTAGCATAAACATTCCCAGAGCGTCTGGTAGCTGAAACATGCACCTTTGGCACTCGATTGTGCGGCTTGTGGGGCGTCGGCGGATTACGTGAAGGCGTTGACGGAGGTGGCGTTGACAGGCGTGGAATTTACAGAGAATACCTTGTTGCATGCCCCATGTTGCAGCCCCTTTTTAATGCCTCGTAATGTCAATTTTTGTATAATAAAAATACTTAGAGGCTGAAGTTCTCTTTAATTTTTAACACTTACAGACACCAAAGGTGTACTCTTGATAAACATAAATCAATCTTATACAAAACCTTTGTTATATTCCATAATTTATACGAATTTTCGGACTAATCTCTGACTCATCAATACTCTTCAAGGCACTGCAATGGAATTACGCAGCGATCTTCGCTGCTTTTCGTTTGAATTTCGAATCTAAACATTTCCAGATAATCAAATTCAAAGATAAATAAAGCCAAAAGTGCATGGAAATAAAAGAGTTGCGAGAGGATAAATGATAAAAATGCACCAACTTTAATGTAGAAGCTTCAATCTGGCAGCTTAGATCCACGAGTTAATCCCCTGATTACAGCCACCACTGCTGTGCCGTGGAAAATCCACTTGCCGACTGGCTAAATGTAAATGCAAATGCCAAATGCATGCGTGAAATGAAAAGGTACCCCAGGGGCGGCAGGACCGGAACGAGTTGCCTACACAATTTGGCCGCCGCTCATTCGGTTAACAATTTGGCTAAATCAATTATGCGCACAACGCACAATGCGAATTCAGATGTTTTAATTGAGAGATTTTCCAGGGAAGCTGTACCGGGTAAGTACATGGAAATGGCAAGGCAGAAAGCAGCCAAGAACAAATTTAATACGAAAATTGCTGAACCCAAAGCGAGGCGAAAGAATTTCATAGAGCTGGCCACAAATTTCCAACAAAATGCCAATAAAATACGCTCCAGCGCAGAAATTCCATTGCACATAAGGGAAGGAAGAAGGTAAATTCTGAAAGAGGAAGGCAGGGAAATATTTCACACTTCCGCCTGGCAGCACGAGAGCGGGAGAGCCACCTGAACCTCTGGGCCAACAGAGATGCCAACAGGATATGACAAGCTCGACCATGGACTCTGCTCTGCTCTCTCCACTCCTCTCCTGCCCCACCTGGCTTATTTCAGCATGCTTCCAGCGGCAACTTCCTGCCAGAACACATTGCAAATTATTATGTGAGGGGAGACTGGTGGTGGTTGGGCATCCAAAAATTGCCAAATGGCTGTTGCTTTTGGCCGACGATGGCACAACAAATGAAACATGGAACGGATGCTGGAATTTGGGTAACATCTTGCAGGGAAGACACACACACAATTTGGTTCCACTTCCAGGGCAAAAATTCAAAGATCAAAAATCTTTAAAAATAAATGAAACGCTTCATGTAAGTTGCCATCAAATATTAGCCCAACTGATAGTCCGACAATTGTTATAAATGTTCGATGCCATCATGGACAAGGCAGGACACAAGCGAACAGCATCCAGCCATTGGCCAGTGGGTGGAGCGCAGCCAACAAGTTTTGTGGCATAGCCAATATCCGCTGCAGGGACAAGGCACACACTGCCACAGGACACACACTGATATCTTCTTTGGACTTGTTATTGATAATCTTTGGCAGCAGGGCCTGACGTGAGCTTCGACAACAGCCAAACAATAAAAAAGGAAGAGTCATGGCGGCTGGCGACTGGCGACTGGCGGTTTCATACAGGACACGGCCGGAGGAGTAATGAACCGAGGCACGCCACAGACCGGCGACGTATGCAGCCGTGTTTGTACGGGGATATCGATGCAGGCTGCAAGTGGAGGAGTCGAGGAGTCGTGGAGTCGAGTGTATTAAAAACAAAGTCACAATGTGTGTCGTCCTGCATCCTTGTGCCCAACGTTGTCGTTGCCAAAGTCAATGAACAGGGACACGGACAGGGCTACGGACAGACACACAGTTACGGACACGGACACGGACACGGCACATGGACTGTGTGGAACTGTGGAGCAGACAGGATATGAAGCGTGTGCAAAAGTTTGCCACAATTAGGATGCGGATGCTGCCTCTCTCCCGGCCAGACGCTGGCTCAATAAAAAACTTTAAAGTTGCGTTTATATATGCATTCCATAATTCACGGCCCCACAAGGCGCTCCTACGATTTGCTGTCTGACTTGACAGCAGCACGTTTCCGCCATTTTGTGTGCTGTGCTGTGCTGTGCTGTGCTGTGCCAACTTGTTGCATGCCGCATTTGAATGCCCACAAAAGAGGCCTGACACCCAGACACAGCGGTGGGGAAAACCCACCACGGGCCTGGGGAATGTTGACATCCCGAACATGCTGAAATTTCCGCTCTCAACGATGGCGAACAACGCGCGATGCCACAAGCTAAAAACTTGCCACAGTCTGACATTCAAAACGTGGACAACGCCTACACCCAGCCATCCATCTATCCATCCATTCCCCTCGTCACCTGTGTGCATTCTCCTTTGTGCAGCTGAATGGGTTGGGATTTCGTATTCAATTAAATACAATTACATCCACCAACTGTCAGGTTTTTTCAGTTAATAATGAAAAATGCATTAATGCATTGAAAATGCGGTCCCAAATCCATGGCAGAAAGACACTCAAAGGCAAGGGGCAGGGCAGCACTCAGGTAGCATCATGCAAAGGTGTTTTTGTCTATATCTTTTCCCAATTTATATCTCAGCTTTTTCCTTGGTCTTTTCTCTATTTTTGAACACTTTCCCCCCCATCTGCGCGCTTTCTGTAACACAGTTCAAAGATTTTTCCCTAGTCTTTAGCTTATTTACGCACGTTTTGCGCTTTATAAATATTTAACAAACATGCAGACAGTCAAAGGTTTCTATTTAGATTTGCATAAAATAAATGCTACGTAAATAAATAGAATTCTTAAGGTGGCACCTTCCGCCGCAAGGCGAAATAAAATCAAATCAAATGAATTTACTTTTTGATTATAATTCTCTCGCCATAAACACGGGATCTAGAGCAGTCCAAATTCATATCCTCACAGCGCAGATTGACATTAATTGTTCAAATTGAAGCGCAAATCTCGACGGGGCGGGGAGAGATAAATGGGAAAATTCCTTTGAAGGTATGGATGGGCATGGATTATAGTTAGCAGAAATCAGGGAAATCGCTAAATATTTTCTACACTGCCAAATCCAACATTTGCTGACTTATTTCAGTCAAAACATGTCGCAGCCACCCTCTAAATTATTCAAATATGTGTAGCGGCAGCCCAAAAAAGCTCTTGCATTTGACACGATTTCTGGGAGTTCCGCTTCCACGCCCCCAGACAACTCTCGAAGGACACTTTATCAGCGCTCGCGAGGGCTTAAACAATTGTCGCAAATGGAGCCTCGCGCGCGGCTAAGTGGTTTTATTTTAAATCTTTCACGTTCATAACATCACAAAATGAAGAGGAGTAGAGGGGGTGAATCTGCTGCCTTATGACAACAAGTTGCTTGCGACTCGTAGAAAGCCCAACCAGCAGTCGCAACAATTGTGCTGTAAGCGGAATAATTTGGTTTTTCTTTCTCTCCAACTGTTTGCTAAATGTCAGTCTTCATTTGTCAGGCACTCGGCAATGCCAGGGCCAGAGTTTCCAGCGGCACCCAGCAGCCAGCTTAAGTGGCTTCATTGTCTGCTGGCTACAGATGGAACAGATTTAGATCTAAGCTTTAAGGACTCTGTTAGCTGCAGTGAGTTCCCCCGTTGTTCATTCCCTTTTGATGGACGTTTAAATTGCAGCAGAGACATGCCAAGGCACTCCATTGAGCAACTTCGTTCCGTGGGGAGCCTATAAATATTTATTATGCACTCTCAAGGACTAATTCTGATTAATTTATCAATCGATTTGGCCGACGAGCCTTGACATGAAATGTCAGACGCTCGATTTATGGCCCAAGCATTACGAGCATTGCCTCATTGCTAATTATTTGGCATTTATCGTGCAGCTTTGGCCCCGTCTCTGGGCTGTCTTTCAAGCTGGAATCAATAAAAGTCTCAACCTCCTCGGCAGGGCAACAAAAGCAGAATATAAATACAAATCGAATGAAAGTGAATTTCACGCCATTGGCCAGGCCAAAGCGACTTCCTGGCAGGAAGGCATCAATCAGAACGGAAAGAGACTACCGCACACATATTTATGAGCCATGGCGTATGCGTAATATTTAGCGCGATTTTCTGTGCTTTGCCCCGAGGCTAGCTGAATATTCATTGGTACACCAAGAGGAATGATGGTTTAGAAGCTGAAAGCATTACTTTTAGTGGGTGAAAATCGAATGAACTTCCTTGAACTTTCCAGCAAAGTCTGCAAACGTTTTCCTCCATTGCATGGGAATTAAATAGAGACACAGAATACGCTCTGCCAATTCAGCTGTTAGTTTAAACTACATTCCGAAATAGTTTTAGTTCGATTTAAATAAATAATCGCAACCGACACGACAGCTGCTGTCCCACAAAGGAATGCTAATCAGGTGGTGCCAGGTGCCACAGGGAAGCCAGAGCAGTGAGATGCTCCCTAAGCTCTGGTTGAACTCTTTTTAGTTGCAGTCCCTTTTCTGCTTTGGTTCCTCACTGCTGCCAAATGGAGCATGTGAATGCACTGCCACCCTCCCACCCCTCTTTGGCATACGACCTTGTGGGGTGCCTGTGGCAGGCCATCTTGTTCAACTCAAACCGCAATTGGCTGTTACATTAACCCACACAATCCACAGCTCATAAATTAGCGGGCATCTCAGCACCTGCGTAGATTGCAGTTGCAATTTTCAGTTGCAGAAATACGCAGATACAAAAGGCAGAGGTAGAGGCCAGATGGCTTTAATATGCCTGGAATTTCAGCTCAGAATTTGATTTTGAATGCAGCAAAATATTTGAATAGTTTTAGATGGCAAGAAAGAAAAGGGGAGACAAGAAGAGCTGCAACGAGGTGTGAGCATGGAGCAGCGCAGGAGAGTGGGCCAAGGTGCAATGAGGTGAAGGTGGGCTGCCACTAGCCATATGATATTTTTCAGCATTCTAGGTAGTTTCCGACAAAGTTGTTGAAATTTGTATAATATTATTATGCAATGCTAGAGGAGAGCTGCAAACCAGAACAGAGCCCATTCTAAGTGGAATTCCTGGCATAAATTAGACGCACATAAATAAACATAGAAGATGAATCAGTTTCATGATTTGGGAGCCCCATCTCCAGACTCATCTGTTTGTGTGACCTGCTGGAGGCAGAACACACAAAAGTTACCGAAAGCAATTAAATGGCCATAAAGTTTTCTCACACGCATCAACGATATATACATCAGAGCCATAAACCATAAACACTACATAATCGCCGTGTAGTTGTGTTGTCTATTTATCTGGGCAATCGTCACCTGTGAAAAACTCTAATCGCGCTGCACATATGCTGCCTGCCAGCCAAGGATAAGCCGTTTCCTGTTTGTGGCTAGTTTGTTGATGAACAAAGTTCGATAAAGTAAACGATCCTGCGATATTTTCAGCACAAAATGAAGGACGGACGATGCCAGCTAACTAGGTAAATAGAAATTCCAAACCAATTGATTTTATTATCCAATGCCCACTCTGTGTGACGTTCAGTAAATAGGAAATACGTTTTTAATAAACAAATTGTGACAGCAGGCGACAGCAGTTACAGTTTGCCATTTCCACTGGCAAATGGGCGTAAGAGCCAACTGTATTCAACGGCAATAACCGACAAAAAAAAAACTAATAGCCATAAATGAGGGGATTTCTAACCAAAAACAGGCCGTAAAAATATCACGAGTGGAGGAGGGATAGACCCAGACCGAAACCGAAACCGATGCCGAGACCGCTCCCTGTGCCGCCGTGTGTTTAACAACATGTTAACATGTTTGACTATCGCAATGAAGCAACCTTTCCGTTCCGTTCCGTTAGCGGGCGGGGGACGAGGCCGTAAATCAGGCAATCGAACCACAAAGCTCCTGCCTCTCTCCCTCTCTCACGTTACCCCACAGGAGCCAACATGTTGTGGTCTGGCGGCTCATAATATGATTTAACTTAAATGTACCTTCAACGACTTTTTGGTTTGTTTTTGCACCTCATTTGGGGATTTTTGTTGGTAAAGAGTACTTCTATGGCCATATTTTGGGATTGTAATTCATGAATCAAGAAGATCATAAGAAATGCACCAAAAATGATGAGAACAATTGCCAATTGGTTAAATTATTGAAGCAGCTAAACTTAGAGAAACTTTTCTAGGGAGTTGCCCATTCGGATCGAGGAGATTTTCCGCCTGATCAAAAAATAGTACCTGCCATCTGCGTATTCCGCTCTTTGCATCTTTCTCTTTCTGTAATTAACGAGCAGCTAGAGCTCTGATCTCATCTGCCCCTAGAAATATCCATTGTTTCACCTCTACCCCTTGCCGCTGCTCTGTTATCCGTTCTTTGCTTTCTCCCTTTCTCTCATTTATCTCTCCACTCGGACGGCCTGCCTGCCTGTCTCGTTATTATGCTGTTATTTATATTTCAGCGCGAATTGCGCCCTGCCTCCCTGTGCCTTCCCTCCCGAATGTTGCACAATTTTGTCATCAAACATGTTGCGTGTCTTGCCGCCGTGTGCAATTTAACCGCTGACGGTTGCAAGGGGCTGTGCACGGGACGGGTCGGGTCGGGTCGGGTCGGGTCGGGTCGGGCAAGGGCTGAAAAACTTTCGCCACGTAAATGATTTGTTTTGTCAATTATTTTGTTAGCCCAAACATGCAACATGCAAAAAAAACAAACAAAACAAAACGAAGGAAATATCGTCTCTCAGCTGATAACATCAAAACAAGGGACTCGAATGAACCCACGGGGAATGACTCTGCGCCCATTTTCTCGCTGTTTCAGTTGTTAATTGGGAAGGCGTGGCTGGACAAATTGCATCTAGATAAATAGACAAATTCATTGAGGGGTAAAAACAGAGCTGAACCAACAGGAAGTCTGAACTGGAACTGATTGGAGGAAGTAACAGAACGGATCGTGATTGTATCTGGATCGGATCAACTTTGGCCATCTGGTTTGCAGAAGTCCACTTGCATAAATATTTATCGCAAAAGACAGATTAAATACAAAATCGGAGAAACACATGTGCACTCGTTGTTGTTCTGCTCTCAATTTTCAAATTAAAAATAATGCACATTTGTTTTGTCCGCATAAAAAACAACTATAAAGTAGGGGGCAGTACTGAGTACTTCATGTGGGGCTGATGGAGGGGAACATACACAGAGAATCTGTTTTTTTCGGAACAGGCAATTGAGTGATGGATGGATTGCCAATGGCCCCTGCCGCACCATTTCCATTTGGCTCTTGCTTTTTGCTTTTATTTTCTTTTTTTTTTTGTTCTATGTCTTTTCTTAATTAACATGCGCCATGCGCAGGGGTTTTGGCTTTTTGGTTTTTTGCTGTGACAAATATTTCGGTGGGTGGGAATACATATTTATAGGGTCTGACGTTAGAGTATTACCTTGGACTTGGAGCTGGAAACAGTTGGTAACTCTCACTCTCAAAAACTCTGACACACACAAGTGAATTTTAATCGAATTTGATGGTGCGGCTGGTTGCTGATATAATTCATTTGCTAATGATGCGCCTGGCTAGAGCACACAATTTCCCAATTCATTGCACTAAATTTTGTGGCACTAATTGCACTTAGCCGCAATCGCGATAACTCAAAATAACACACTCGCGGCACACACACAGCACTAGGCACTGGGGGGAGGCGAAAGCACTCAAAAGTTCCAAATATTATTCTCAAAACTCAAAAACGTCACACAAATCGTTCCTCAAAAACAGTTCTTTCAGATGAATTTCCCTTTTCTTTTTTTTTTTTGGGCGAGCAGAGCGAAAATACGTCTGTTACAGCGTGTGGGCAGTTGCCAACTAAAACGAAGGCTACACGCGAGTGCAGTGTAAAGCAAAGGCAAGCGCAAAAGCAAAGGCAAACACAGACCGATGATGGTTCGTTCGCTCGGCTGCTGTCGGTCGTCGTGTCGACCAAAAGCCGGCAAAACAAAATGTAAATAACGGTTGTATGCATTGTGTGGGTATGATGGAGCGCGGGCGGGGCGGGGAGGGTAGTGCCAGAACAGCCGGCTTTTGGTTGAGCTTTGGCAGATTTTACGCTTTCGCTAGTACCGAAAAGCGACTAAGCGCCAAACGAATGGGCATACCATCAGCATCGTTCCAGCTCCCGCGCCTGCTCCCCCTCCCACAGCTCACTCGTTCTGTTTGCTTTGCGGCTTTTTGGGGTTGTTGGAGAACATGTCTGTGCATGTCCGTTCATGTCTGTACGTGTCTGTGCGCGTTTGTTTGTATACACTTCGGCTTTGGCCTGCAATTGGCGGGAAACTTTTGTGGAACGCATTGGCATTGTAGCAACATACAATGTGTTTTAGATGAAAAATTATTATTAAAGCCAACAAGAACAAAAACAGACTTTCATTAACTTATTAATTGCCTAATAAATATTATAATTTTTGTGTATTTATCACCCATTCTTTGCACTAAATTGAATTCATTTCATGTCTTGGCAACATGTTGCCTGGCCAAATGTTGCCAGCGAGCATTGCTCATGCGCCGTGCCATACCCATTTCTTTGTTGTTTTTCTTTGGGGCCTCCCCCCCTGCCAGTGTGCCCCATGCCAACGCTTATGGCCAATCCATTGCCTATCCCAACCAACAAGAGCGACCGCCTAACGCTACCCAAAGTGACAACCTTTCAGTTTTATCGCCTCTACATGGGTGTGTGGATTGTAAGTGTGTTCGCCTGTGTGTGTGTGTGTTTAAATAATGTAACAGTAAATTAGCGTGTTTGACACACTGGGGGCGTGGCCAACGGTGCGTGCCAGGAGCAAACTCAATCAAGTTAATATTTGTAATTTCAAGATGAGCAAAAGATAAAAGAGAAGAAACTCTGTTGCCAGGCTGACCTCGAAAAAGATTCACTTTTAATGATCCACTGCTGGAATTTGAGCTTTGAAGATTATCCAGGATGGAGTTGAGTGAAGTTTGCCAAGAGTCTGAAGGGGAATTCATTTAAAATTAAAGTTTAAACTTAAAATTCCTATTAGGATTAATAGAAATTAAGTTCCACAGCAACAATTGCCACGGAAATGATAAAAACACTTCAAAGGAATAGTCTCAGTCTTTTCAGGAATTAAATATTTGCTTTCTGCTGTTTAATCATTCACACTAATAATTACCAGTCAATAATCCATTACCCATTACCCATCCATTACCCATTACAACATTCTGCGTTTCATTAAATCATAAAACACGAAAAATGCACCTTCATTAAGAGTGATTATAAGCGCATTCATTTGATTGAATCAAATTAGTTTTGCTTCATCAAATTGGGCGGAAAATATGTACAATATGTTTTCTATGACCGTCCCTGGCCAATTACAAGTTACAACAACAATGAGCATCCGCTGTGTTTTGCCCCACTAAAAATATACTCAACCAAAACAGAGGCAAAGCCAATAAAAAAAAAAAAAACAAATTATAAAGTCTGAAAGTCCAGAGATAAATGTACTCATTAGGCAAGTTATTATAACAATATTTTTGATAGCTAAAATTATTAAGGGAAACAATATTAAAATAAAATTCTTAGAATAATTCATTTCCAGGTATTTCCAACAGAATATATTCTACCCTTCAGTACCCCGATCTTAGCCTGCACAAAAAAGGAAATATCGCTGCCGACAAACAGCAAAAAAAAGCGAAAGAAAAATAAACAAGCGAACGCACTGGACTGTGCTTTAGAACAATAGGAAATTATTGCTATAGGAAGCAGCGCCGCAGCAGATCAGTTGGGGCGGAGGGGAATTATTTTTGAGCACTCGTTGCTCACCCCGCCGAGGGGCGGGGCAGATCTCTTTTGGAGGAAATACGGTAAGGCAAGCGCCAGCAAAGGGCACACGATGATACGACGCTCGGCCAGAGTTCGACTGGCTCTCGGCCATCCACGAGTGATCACAGACTTTTCGCACCTGTACGTGTATTTTTTGGTTCATTGCCAAATAGTCTGAAGACAGCAGCAGCGACTGACTATGCAGATGTACAGACAGTGTACAGTGTACAGTGCGTTTCGCTAGTTTAAGGATACAAAATCTTTGCTGAAAACAAAACTCTGCTGGAGATTTACTTTCCTTTTTGAAATATTTACTCCTTCTGTTAACTTTTCATTTATAAATCCTATTGGCAGTCTTAACATCATGAAACCCACTGTATTTATGTAGAACTATCTGCTTGATGGGGAGTCTTCATTGGCGTTCAATTTTTATGCACATTCCCAGGAATTAATTTAGTTGGCTTTATTTTATATATTCACATAAATATCTCACTTTTGTTTCCCCTCCTTTGCCTCGTTTGGTCCTAAGAGACACAGAGAATGTTGGGAACTAAAAGACAAAGTACAAAGTACAAAGCAAACAGGGGAAAACATATTCCAATGGAGTGAAATGTTACCCACTTTATGTGCAGTTCTGATCCTCAATTCTTCTACCAATTATAATTGCAGCTAAACACCCTCGCTGCCAGCCACTCGAACACAATAAATCTGTCCTTTGTTTGCATCAATTAATGCATTCGAAAGCAACAGAAAGCCAAGCTTTGCCTTCCCTTTTGGGGCTCTCTCTCTCTCACTCTCTCTCACTCTCTCTCTCTCTCTTCCCGATACTCTCTCCGGGAATTGCCGCTTTTTGTTGCTGTTCTTGGGAGGAATTCTGTTTTCAGACGCCACGAAATATGCGCACAATTTTCAAGGCTTAATTTGTGGGGCCGTAAATAATACTCGGGGATGATGTATGGATGCATAGCTGGAATATTTGTGAAGTTACTCAATGCCTCAATTAACAGATTTTTGAACTGTTTCAATGTTTGTTTAAGTGAAAGACTTAAGAGATTTCTTCTGGCACAAACTAAGCGGCTAAAGTTGTTCCTTGATTAGTTGAAGATTGACTTCTCCCCTGCCTGACTGCCCAACGTGATGAATGCATTTCCCTGTAGCTTTGAAACGAGCCCATCAAAGTGAACGCCAGGAAATATCACTTACCAAAGTCATTCGAAATAATTGCATAATGAATGGGCAGCACCCAGCTCTCTCGCTCCCTCGGGTCTGCCAGCCGTAGCTGGAGCTGCGTGTGGGGTTAATCAGTCCGATTAATCTACGCAAAAGGCAAGTGCAAGTGTTTTCCGCCTCCCCTGATCCATGGAGTAGCGGAAACACGCCAAGGAGCAAGGAGCAAGGAGCGAGGAGCTACCACCCCTGGCAGCAGGCAGTGCCCTGTTGATGATAATGTTAATTTGGCACATAAGTTGCACGTGTAGCAAGAGTGTGGAACTGTGGGTCGAGGGTCGGCTCCGGCAATTCATTTACTTTGGCATGGACATGCGAGCGAGTGCGCCCGCTGAGACGATCCGACCACAGAGTCGATCCAGGGGGTGTCCGCCCTTGCTGGTTGCTGGTTGCGGGCATTGTCATATGGCAAAGTCCTTTGCGGATGACAATGTGAAAGCCGCATTTAATTGGCATTGGGAATTTTACGTAGCAGGGAAAAACGAATGCGAATGGAATGGGACAAACAAACAGAGGAATGACAATGACAACGACTTCAGTGCGGGCTCCAGTGCTGTCCCTGCCCTGCCCTGCCAGGTCCTCCTCCTGCCCTGCAGCGCTAGTCACAGTTGGAGACTTTTGATTGACATGTTCTAAATATCTACATGTACAGCGCAAGTGCAGTGCGTTTCGCAACCATAAAGCCAGTCGCCAAAGAGTCAAAGTTTAGCTCGCAAAAATGTCGCCATGGAAATGCTTTTTATTGGCAAATATTTTCTAGTCTCAGCTTTGTGTTCGCCCACACCTGCCTTACACTTTTGTTACCCACTGCATGCATTCGTTTACACTGCCTTTTCCCCTGCTGTATAAATGAAACAAAACTTTTTGCCGAGTCAACGCAAAAAAACCTTCCAAACGGAAGTGCAAATCGCGAGTCTTATTAAAAGTTTATTTTTGAAACATTAAGCGAAATAATGCAAATAAATCGGAATAGTGCAAATCTGCATATAGATTTCACAGGTGACTGCGCAAAATTTACATTTCATTTTGCCAGTCACACAAAATGTTGAAGTAAATTTTGTCCTCTGCCGGAAATGACGGCCATAAAAGCAAGGAGGGTGAGGGTGAGGGGTGTGCACGTACGTGTAGCTAAACAACCGTAAAACCACCCCACACCGCACCCTCGCAGGCACACGCACGCGGCACAGCAAAGACAATTAGTGTAAGGACAAACGCGCATTTGCCTTTCCCCCTGCTGCTGCTTCGTGACTTTTGGCGCTTCCTTTGGATATGTGCGGCGGCTTCCCTGAAGTACCTTTCGGCATGCCCTTGCAGAGGGTATAGCGATTTCGTGGGCAGGTGCTTGCAGGGAAGAGAAAACGAAGATCTGTTGCCCCAGCTATGCCTGAGTTGTGAGCCAAAATTAAACCACATTCAAGTGCTAATATTTCCTCCAAAGTGTACTCCAATCTTCGACGTTCCCCAAGCGTATCCTTCCTTACATTTCTACAATTTCACACATGAACATTTCTTTATTTGCACAGCCCGAAATAGGGTGCGGCAGCGGCCATAAAGCGAAATTAAATATACAAAAAAAACACACACAGGCAAAAATGACTTACATTTGAAATGCTAAAAGCTGGAGCCAAAGTCTTTGACTTGAGATTTAATTTTCGAGCCGGAGAAGTCTTCAGCAAATGCTTCCCCCACTGGAATTGAGTTTATGCCCGAGACCTAATTAAATGCCGAGCTTGTGGCAAGGTGGTTTGCCGAGCATGTGTGGCGGGGATGCTTTAAAAATGCGATTAAGGGATTGTGCATCCAAAAT